AACGGGAAAAAAACAAAAAAAAACAGCAAAAAAAATACAGTTCAATAAAAAGAGGGATAGGAGGGCCCTGATCCTGGGAGCTTACAATCTAAGGGATTGTTGACCAGGTTCTCAGCCAGCGGTATATATAAAAAGGTATTCAAAGCACAACCAATGTGTAACGCTGCAAAACAGAACAAAACCTTGTCATGCCATGAGCAAATATGGCCGCCCCCTATACCCAAGGTTTAAAACCGTAGCAAGCATTGACAGCATTATATAGATTATCATTTCACATATTTCTATATATATATATTAAAAAAAAAAAGAATTAACCTCTTCCCGTCCGTTCTATAGCAGAAATACTGCTACAGGGCGGCACGGGTGCGCAAAATCACATGTACATGATTTTGCTGTTCCGGGTAGGGGGCGTGCCATTTGCGGCCTCAGCTGTCAATCACCGGGTCCCGGCTGGTGATTACTCGCCGGCGCCCGTAGATTGCTGACCATCTCTGACGGGGGAGATATGCACCGAAACTCTGAATGGGGCTGGGAGTCAGTGTGGGGGGATGGGGGTTCTACAGAGGATTAGGGGGACTTTGCAGATAACATGGTGGCCCTGTAAGGGATTAGGTTGCAGGGGGGAAATGGGGGTAACTGTGGGGGATAGGATCTCTGAAAGCAGGCTGGGGGCCCAATACATTTTTCCAAAACCTTTATTTTTCAAACAGTATTAAAAAAAAGTTTATACTCAACACAATAAACACGCATTGAAACTCTGGATGGGGCTGGGTGTAAGTGTTGTGGGGTGGGATTCTTGAGGGGGTTAGGGGACTTTGCAGCAGACTTGGTGGCCCTGATGTTTCTGGGGGAAAATGGGGGCAACTGTGTGGGATGTGGGTCTATGGAGGGGGCTGGGGGTTTTGCAGGGGCACTGTGGGAGACTGGAGACTCTTCAGCAAGCTAGGGGGCACTGCAGGGGCTGGGAGGGATGCTATGGGAGGTTGGTAGGCGTGTTGGGGATGTGAGCTCTTATGGGGGTTTGGGGGCACTGTAGACCACTATGGGAAGTTAGGAAGTACTATGGTAGGTTGGGGACACTAAGGGGGACTGGAGGCTCTGCAGCAAGCTAGGGGCACTGCAAGGCAGGGGGCACTGCAAGGGGCTGGGGGAGGTTTGCTGTGGGAGGTTGGTAGGCGTGTTGGGGATGTGGGCTCTTAAGGGGGTTTGGGGGGCACTGCAGACCACTATAGGAAGTACTATGGTAGGTTGGGGACACTAAGGGGGACTGGAGGCTCTGCAGAAAGCTAGGGGACACTGCAGGGGGCTGGGGATGCTGTAGGAGGTTGGTAGGCAGTGTTGGGAATGAGGGCTCTTAAGGGGGTTTGTGGGGGCACTGCAGACCACTATAGGAAGTTAGGAAGTACTATGGTAGCTTGGGGACACTAAGGGGGACTGGAGGCTCTGCAGAAAGCTAGGGGACACTGCAAGGCAGGGGGCACTGCAAGGGGCTGGGGGGATGCTATGGGAGGTTGGTAGGCGTGTTGGGGATGTGGGCTCTTAAGGGGGTTTGGGGGCACTGCAGACCACTATAGGAAGTTAGGAAGTACTATGGTAGGTTAGGGACACTAAGGGGGACTGGAGGCTCTGCAGAAAGCTAGGGGACACTGCAGGGGGCTGGGGATGCTGTAGGAGGTTGGTAGGCAGTGTTAGGAATGAGGGCTCTTAAGGGGGTTTGTGGGGGCACTGCAGACCACTATAGGAAGTTAGGAAGTACTATGGTAGGTTGGGGACACTAAGGGGGACTGGAGGCTCTGCAGCAAGATAGGGGACACTGCAAGGTAGGGGGCACTGCAAGGGACTGGGGGAGTATGCTGTGGGAGGTTGGTAGGCAGTGTTGGGAACGTGGGCTCTTAAGGGGGTTTGGGGGCACTGCAGACCACTATAGGAAGTACTATGATAGGTTGGGGACACCAAGGGGGACTGGAGGCTCTTCAGCAAGCTAGGGGGCACTGCAAGGGGCTGGGGGAGTATGCTGTGGGAGGTTGGTAGGCAGTGTTGGGAACGTGGGCTCTTAAGGGGGTTTGGGGGCACTGCAGACCACTATAGGAAGTACTATGATAGGTTGGGGACACTAAGGGGGACTGGAGGCTCTTCAGCAAGCTAGGGGGTACTGTGGGGGCTGGGGATGCTGTGGGAGGTTGGTAGGCAGTGTTGGGAATGAGGACTCTTAAGGGGGTTTGGGGGCACTGCAGACCGCTATGGGAAGGTAGGAAGTATTATGGTAGGTTGGGTACAATATGGGGGACTTGAGGCTCTGCAGAAAGCTAGGGACACTGCAAGGTAGGGGTACTGCAAGGGGCTGGGGGAGTATGCTGTGGGAGGTTGGTAGGCAGTGTTGGGAACGTGGGCTCTTAAGGGGGTTTGGGGGCACTGCAGACCACTATAGGAAGTACTATGATAGGTTGGGGACACTAAGGGGGACTGGAGGCTCTTCAGCAAGCTAGGGGGCACTGCGGGGGGCTGGGGATGCTGTGGGAGGTTGGTAGGCAGTGTTGGGAATGAGGACTCTTAAGGGGGTTTGGGGGCACTGCAGGCCGCTATGGGAAGGTAGGAAGTATTATGGTAGGTTGGGTACAATATGGGGGACTTGAGGCTCTGCAGAAAGCTAGGGGACACTGCAAGGGGCTGGGATGCTGTGGGAGGTTGGTAGGCAGTGTTGGGAACGTGGGCTCTTACGGGGGTTTTGGGGCACTGCAGACCACTATGGGAAGTTAGGAAGTACTATGGGAGGTTGGGGACACTATGGGGGACTTGAGGCTCTTCAGCAAGCTAGGGGACATGGCAGTGTTGAGGGTTCCTAAGGGGGCCTGTGGGCCACTATGGGAGATGGAGAGCACTGTGAGAGGTTAGATGATCTGCACCTGGCTGTAGACCCAGAAGGAGGGACGCCATGGCTTGGCTCCGTGGTTGAGAACCACTGCTATAGAGCATAGCAGGGGGCGTGTTTGACTCAGACTCTAAACCAAAGTACTATCAGAAATGATGTTTATCCTTCCACCAGGTTATTTATTTGGAGGTGAACCCTAAAATGGACACGTGACCATCTACTGTAGAGGGACCCCGAGGGACTTTGCCAAGAGAGCAGCACAATCTCAGCATTCACAAAAAAGAAAAGAAAAGTGTCATATCCATCCATGGTGACTCTCCAGCTTCATTCTACTGGATGACGGTCATAGGACTGCACAGCAACAGATCTGCATCTACAAAAACCAAAGACTAAAGGTGGACATAAACCACAATCACCGCACTGCATCTTCAAAATGGTCATACACTGTACAATCTAATTGAGAGTAACCAAGACTTTGTAAAACAAAAAAAAAAGGACCTAACTATACAAAATTATTCAGTTTGTATCCAATCAGGCAGGCCTTTATATGGCTAAATATGACAGGTGCACTTTAAAGTACAAATGTTGGCTCTATACACTGACCTTTAAAGTGTCACTAAACCCCCAACAGTACAATCAGTCTGTAGATGCAGAAAAGCATGCTTGTTATACTCACTGTGGAACCTAAGGGGTTAATCCTCTGCATTGTGTAAAAAGGCTGTTTGATCCTGTCTTCTCTGATCCTCCCCTTCTTCCAGTGTCCCCCTCTTATCTCCTGATAAGACATATCGAGCGGCTCAGTTTGGTGTGCTAGAGAGGCTTTTATTTTTTTTTTTACATGGGAGAGTGCATGTGATCAGCACAGGGCCAATCAGCACTGTCCAGACATAGGTCAGGGATTCCGCATCCTTCTAGAGCAAAATAAAAACACCTCCTACAAGCTTTACCCAGTGCTCTGCTGGACCCTGATAGAAGTCACAAAACTGCTATATATTGCTGATGAGAAATGCTATTTAGCCGTTTATATTTACTAAAATAATTGCATTTCCATGTTCTGTGTACTGTAGGAGACCAGCTATAGTGAATGCAGGGTCCGGGGAGACCAGATATAGTGAATACAGGGTCCAGATATAGTGAATGCAGAGTCCGGGGAGACTAGATATAGTGAATACAGGGTCCAGATATAGTGAATGCAGGGTCCGGGAAAAGCGGATATAGTGAATGCAGGGTCCGGGGAGACCGGATATAGCGAATGCAGGGTCCGGGGAGACCGGATATACTGAATGCAGGGTCCGGGGAGAGCGGATATAGTGAATGCAGGGTCCGGGAAAAGCGGATATAGTGAATGCAGGGTCCGGGGAGACCGGATATAGCGAATGCAGGGTCTGGGGAGACCGGATATACTGAATGCAGGGTCTGGGGAGACCGGATATAGTGAATGCAGGGTCCGGGGAGAGCAGATATAGTGAATGCGGGGTCCGGGGAGACCGGATATACTGAATGCAGGGTCCGGGGAGAGCAGATATAGTGAATGCGGGATCCAGTGGGACCGGATATAGTGAATGCAGGGTCCGGGGAGACCGGATATAGTGAATGCGGGGTCCGGGGAGACCGGATATAGTGAATGCAGGTTCCGGGGAGACCGGATATAGTGAATGCGGGGTCCGGGGAGACCGGATATAGTGAATGCAGGGTCCGGGGAGACCGGATATAGTGAATGCGGGATCCAGTGGGACCGGAAATAGTGAATGCGGGGTCCGGGGAGACCGGATATAGTGAATGCGGGGTCCGGGGAGACCGGATATAGTGAATGCGGGGTCCGGGGAGACCGGATATAGTGAATGCGGGGTCCGGGGAGACCGGATATATAGTGAATGCGGGGTCCGGGGAGACCGGATATAGTGAATGCGGGGTCCGGGGAGACCGGATATAGTGAATGCGGGGTCCGGGGAGACCGGATATAGCGAATGCAGGGTCCGGGGAGACCGGATATACTGAATGCAGGGTCCGGGGAGAGCGGATATAGTGAATGCAGGGTCCGGGAAAAGCGGATATAGTGAATGCAGGGTCCGGGGAGACCGGATATAGCGAATGCAGGGTCCGGGGAGACCGGATATAGCGAATGCAGGGTCTGGGGGAGACCGGATATACTGAATGCAGGGTCTGGGGAGACCGGATATAGTGAATGCAGGGTCCGGGGAGAGCAGATATAGTGAATGCGGGGTCCGGGGAGACCGGATATACTGAATGCAGGGTCCGGGGAGAGCAGATATAGTGAATGCGGGATCCAGTGGGACCGGATATAGTGAATGCAGGGTCCGGGGAGACCGGATATAGTGAATGCGGGGTCCGGGGAGACCGGATATAGTGAATGCAGGTTCCGGGGAGACCGGATATAGTGAATGCGGGGTCCGGGGAGACCGGATATAGTGAATGCAGGGTCCGGGGAGACCGGATATAGTGAATGCGGGATCCAGTGGGACCGGAAATAGTGAATGCGGGGTCCGGGGAGACCGGATATAGTGAATGCGGGGTCCGGGGAGACCGGATATAGTGAATGCGGGGTCCGGGGAGACCGGATATAGTGAATGCGGGGTCCGGGGAGACCGGATATAGTGAATGCGGGGTCCGGGGAGACCGGATATAGTGAATGCGGGGTCCGGGGAGACCGGATATAGTGAATGCGGGGTCCGGGGAGACCGGATATAGTGAATGCGGGGTCCGGGGAGAGCGGATATAGTGAATGCGGGGTCCGGGGAGAGCGGATATAGTGAATGCGGGGTCCGGGAGAGCGGATATAGTGAATGCGGGGTCCGGGGAGAGCGGATATAGTGAATGCGGGGTCCGGGGAGAGCGGATATAGTGAATGCGGGGTCCGGGGAGACCGGATATAGTGAATGCGGGGTCCGGGGAGACCGGATATAGTGAATGCAGGGTCCGGGGAGACCGGATATAGTGAATGCGGGGTCCGGGGAGAGCGGATATAGTGAATGCGGGGTCCAGGGAGAGCGGATATAGTGAATGCGGGGTCCGGGGTTTAGTAACACTTTAAATACTCCCGCACCTACTGCCCCCCATCTGGCTGCATACAATTAAGTAAGATGACATTTTAGTTTTTTTTGTTGCTTGATTTTCTATGCCGTTACATGAACACAAAGCCCTGATCCTTCTGTGTAACATTCAGGGACAACAATGGGGTGGAATTCTCTGGCTTCCACTGCTCTAGGTTTTGTCGTGGGGGGAGAGGGACAAATCACATAGAGAAGGTCGGGGCAGAATAGAGCCTAAAAACTTGAACCACTTACCCTGTCGGGGGATAACCCCCCCCCCCCCCCCCCTCCCCCTCCTCCTGACCAGACCATTTTTTTGTGATACGGCGCTGCATTACTTTTTCTGACAATTGCGCGGGTCATGCTGCACCCAAATGAAATTTACATCCTTTTTTCCAACAAATGGAGCTTTCTTTTGGTGGTATTTGATCACCTCTGGGGGTTTTATTTTTTGCTAAACAAGAATTTTGGGGAAAAAAAAAAAAGTGTTTCTGTTATAAAGTTTTGTAAATAAGTAATTTTCTCCTTCACTGATGGGCATTGATGACGAGTCACTGATGGGCACTGATAGGCGGCACTGATGGGCATTGATAGGTGGCACTGGTTCAACTGATGGGCACTGATTGCCAGCACAGATGGGCACTATTGGCTGCACTGATGGGGCTACACTGATCACAAGGACACCAGTGCCCTGATGATCAGTGTAGATGTCCCCCTGCAAAATGCTGCTTACGGACTCTTCTCAGTGTGAGGAGTGGACTGCCAATAACTGGCATTTCCTATTTACCTGGTGATTGGCCACAGCTGGTCCCATGGTAAAAGCAGCTGTGATTGGCCTGTTTCAGTATAGTCACAATATGTAATGATTACATGTCTTTATACACCGCGCACGGTGGGGAGGGGGGTGGTCCTGGGAGGAAGTCCATGGATGCCCTCCTAGAACTAGCCGACTGCGATGTAGCTGTCTTTTAGCTATAGCATGGTCGGGAACTGGTTAATGGGGGTGGCACCAATGGAATCCATTCTCAAGGGTGGAGACTATTGTACATATGTGTCTCCTTCTCTCTCTGTAATAGCCTCCGGTGTTCACAATGCAGCTGCTTGGCACAGGACCCGGAAGCTAGTGGAGATCAGTCTCTTAGGAGTCCTTTGGAGAAGAAAGGCAGACAGAGCAGTCAGATGTGAAGTTTAATGGCACCGCTCTGAAGCCAGATAGGCAAGATAGATCACCCCCGCCTCTGTGACCAAGACCCTGATGGGTGGGGCGAACCGCGTCAGTGGTGTGGCTAGCGCAATGCTGAGGCCCCTCTACACATTCACGCTGCTGGTCCTGAGCAGTGTCCACTTCCCCTTATCTCATACAGAGCAGTCATGTCACATTTCAGTTATAGAGAAGGAAGGAAGGAAAGAAAGAAAAAAATGAAAAAAAGGAAAGAAAGAAAAAAGAAAAAAAGGAAAGAAAGAAAAAAGAAAAAAAGGAAAGAAAGAAAAAAGAAAAAAAAGGAAAGAAAGAAAAAAGAAAAAAAGGAAAGAAAGAAAAAGAAAAAAAAGGAAAGAAAGAAAAAAGAAAAAAAGGAAAGAAAGAAAAAATGGAAAGAAAAGGAAAGAAAGGAAAAGAAAAGAGAAGAAAAGAAAGGAAAGAGAAAAAGGAAAAAGAAAAGGAAAAAAGTTTGATCAAGCTATTGGTTTTACTGGGCTGGTATTTGTCTGCACCCACCACTGCAAGTGACACCCTATGGCAACATAAACCACGGCAACCCAAGAAGAAAAAGCACCAGGCTCCTGGCATAGCATAGACCAGGGGTCTCCAAACTTTATAAACAAGGGGCCAGTTTACAGTCCTCCAGTCTTCAGCGGGGCCTAACCATGGCCATCGGGAGTAGAAAATGTCCCTGGCATCAGTGGGAGTAAACAATGCCCCATCTTTGGTGTCAGTGAGAGGAATTTTGCCCCAACGATGATGTCATTGGGAGGAATTGTGCCCCATCATTGGTGTCATTGGTAGGTATCCCTTCGTTGGTGTTAGTGAACGAAATAGTGCCCCAGGGGCCAGATAAAAAAAAACAGGTATAGGGCCATATCCAGCCCCAGGGCCACTGTTTGGAGACCACTGGCATAGACAATGGTGATCACAGAGCACAAAAGGGGAGCTAAAAGGCCCCTATAGAGAAGTGTGTGCAGGACCTCTACCCAAGTAATGATGCCAGTCCACTCTGCATTGCTGCTTCTTATTTTGACCCTGGCTTTGGATTTCAAACACACATTGCTCCCACCTGAAAGTAGAGGAAACCAAAACCTAGTGATCCATGCTGAGGACCGGAGATGGGAAGCACTGCTGTGGAGCATGAAGAAAAGGAAGACAAACTCTCTCAATGTAGCTGCAAAATTAATTTGTTGTATTGTTGTCATATAACTCCGTAAAAAAAAAAAAAGTTTATTACTCAAACGGCAGAGATTTACTAAGACTGGAGCACTCAGAATCTGGTGCAGCTGTACATGGGAGCCAATCAGCTTCTAACTTCAGCTTGTTCAATTAAAGTGTTACTAAACCCACAACAGTACAATCAGTCTGTAGATGCAGTAAAGCGTGCTTGTTATACTCACTGTGGAACCTAAGGGGTTAATCCTCTGCATTGTGTAAAAAGGCTGTTTGATCCTGTCTTCTCTGATCCTCCCCTTCTCCCAGTGTCCCCCTCTTATGTGGAGACACTGCACATGCTCAGTTTGGTGTGCACTGCTAGAGAGCTTTTTTCTTGCAAGAGTGCATGTGATCAGCATAGGGCCAATCAGCACAGTGCAGACAGAGGTTCTGCATCCTCCTAGAGCAGAAAGAACAGTCCTTCTATAAGCTTTAACCAGTGCTCTACTGGACAATGATAGAAGTCACAAGACTGCTCTAAACTAGTGATGGGAAAAGGCATTTAGCAGTTTATATTTACTAAAATAATTGCATTTCCATGTTCTGTGTACTGTGGGAGACCGGATATAGTGAATGCAGGGTCCGGGGAGAGCGGATATAGTGAATGCAGGGTCCGGGAGAGCGGATATAGTGAATGCAGGGTCCGGGGAGAGCGGATATAGTGAATGCAGGGTCCGGGGAGAGCGGATATAGTGAATGCAGGGTCCGGGGAGAGCGGATATAGTGAATGCAGGGTCCGGGGAGAGCGGATATAGTGAATGCAGGGTCCGGGGAGAGCGGATATAGTGAATGCAGGGTCCGGGGAGAGCGGATATAGTGAATGCAGGGTCCGGGGAGAGCGGATATAGTGAATGCAGGGTCCGGGGAGAGCGGGATATAGTGAATGCAGGGTCCGGGGAGAGCGGATATAGTGAATGCAGGGTCCGGGGAGAGCGGATATAGTGAATGCAGGGTCCGGGGAGAGCGGATATAGTGAATGCAGGGTCCGGGGAGAGCGGATATAGTGAATGCAGGGTCCGGGGAGAGCGGATATAGTGAATGCGGGGTCCGGGGAGAGCGGATATAGTGAATGCAGGGTCCGGGGAGACTGGATATAGTGAATGCGGGGTCCGGGGAGACCAGATATAGTGAATGCAGGGTCCGGGGAGAGCGGATATAGTGAATGCAGGGTCCGGGAGAGCGGATATAGTGAATGCTGAGTCCAGGGTTTGGTAACACTTTCATCTTTGACAATGAAATCTGAAAGCTGATTGGTTTCTATGCAGAGCTGCACCAGATTTTGCACCACGCAGTTTTAGTAAATCACCTCAAATGGCTGCCAATGTAATCAATATGTGGACAGGTTTCTGACATCAGGGCAGTGTCGCCCTTCCAAATAAATATTACCAATGCAAGACAGCTTTCCCTTGAACATTCTTCATCCTCTCTATGAAAGTCCTAAAGCAAGAGTTGGCGTTTAAGTCCAAAGCAAGTCCCTAAAGGCTGCCCATGTGTGTTAATACCAGAAGGACTTCCTGTGCCTTCTGCTCTCTTCGATGCCCATTTTCTCCAGAATCTCCTCCTGAAATGTTTTCAGTGATGGGACGTAGGTCTTCTCTAAAGCGTCTTCCACAGAGGTGTCTTTGGGGCCATCTAGAGGAAAGCAGAAAGAAAAGATGGTGAAAGAGAGACATCTAATGGAGAGTTAGAGGTACTGCAGCCTCCTGCAATGCACTGGTAGAATTGTGACCTCTACTGGCGGGATGGAGGGAGCGCAGGTAAGAGGGAATAGTGACCCCAGCAAAGCTTTGTGCATGCAAAGTAATAGCTTTGCAGGGGTCACTGTGGGCACCAGGGTGTGACAGCTTGCGGCTTCACCGCCTTGGTTGGCCTGAGACCTGTGAAAATCCAGGAGACTGCTGGAGCAAGGAGGGGGGCCGAATTTCCAGCTCACTGTGCCGGAAGTGGGAGCCGGTACCTGTCAAAACCAGATACCCGCTCCCCCCCAAAAGGTGCCAAATATGGCAGTGGAGGGGGAGGTGGCGAATAAGCGGAGCTTCCACTTTAACAAAAAAAAAAAAAAAGTATTAAAAATGCCAGTCAACAGTAAATAGTTTGCGAGGGACAAGTATAGATCTATACTCAGACAAAAGAATCATACAAAAAAAACCCAACCCTCCTCCCACAAAAAGACCAAAACAAACAAAAAAAAAAACGGGGGGGGGGGGGGGGGGGGGAAACAAAAAAAAAAACACCCCCCCAAAAAAAATCAAAACAAAAATAAATAATAATAAAAAAAAAGTAAAAAAAAATGCCAGTCAACAGTAAATAGTTTGCGTGTGACAAGCAAAGATCTATACTCAGACAAAAAGAAAAACAAAAACAAACAAAAAAAAAAAAAAAATCATACAAAAAAAACCCAATCCCCCCCCCCCCCCAAAAAAAACCCAAAACAAAATAAATAATAAAAAAAAATGTAAAAAAAATGGCAGTCAACAGTGAATAGTTTGCGTGTGACAAGCAAAGATCTATACTCAGACAAAAAAAAAAAACCCAACCCCTCCCCCCCCCCCCAAAAAAAAGAAAAACCATCATACAAGAAAAAAAAAAAAAACAACCCCCCCCCCCCCAAAAAAAAAAAAAAAACCCCCCCCCCAAAAAAAAAAAAAACAAAGAAAAACATCCTACAAAAAAAAAAAACCCCAACCCCCCCAAAAAAAATCAAAACAAAATAAATAATAAGAAAAAAAAATAAAAAATGCCAGTCAACAGTAAATAGTTTGCCTGTGACAAGCAAAGGTCTATACTCAAAAAAAAAAAAAAAAAAAAAAAACCCTCCCCAAAAAAAAAAAAAAAGAAAAACCATCATACAAAAAAAGAAAAAAAAAACCCACCCCCCCAAAAAAACAAAATGAATAATAAAAAAGTAAAAAAAAAATGCCAGTCAACAGTAAATAGTTTACGTAGGACAAGCAAAGATCTATACTCGGACCAAAAAAAAACACCCCCCTCCAAAAAAAAAAAAAATGGCAGACGTGATGGACCACTCTGCCTTTTTCTGCCGTTTCTACACTCCCTCCCCCCCCCCCCCCCAGCAGTCTTCTATACAGACATGGGCCTCACCTTTCCACTGCTCCGGGATGATCCCGTCTCGTCTCTGGTACATGGGTTTGGGGATGATGCGGCCCGTTCTCAGCGACACTCTCACCCCCGCTCCCCCTCCTCTGTGTACCGCCATTCTGTCTCGGTGGGTTTCCTGGAGGACAAGCTCCGGTCAGTGACAAGCAGCAACGTCTTCCTTCACCTTCATCACACAACTATGGGGGCACCATAGGAGAGGAGGTCAGGGAGTCTATGGCCGGCACAGATGTTCACCGATCAGCCATAACTTTATGACCACCCTCCTAACACGGAGTAGGTCCCCCTTTCTGCCACCAAAGCAGGTCTGACCCACCGAGGCGTGGACTCCACGAGACCTCTGAAGGTGAGATGTGGTATCCAGCACCTAGGGATTTTATTTCCCCCCTTAGAGAATAGGTAACCCCTCCTCCCCCCCTTGTCTATGCCCCATACCCCCGACCCGCCGTCCTTTGGTTCCATCCCCCCGACCTGCCGTCCTTTGGATCCACCCCCCGACCCACCTAGCAGTGCCGTTCTTCCTAGACAATACAGAGCTAAGTATCATGTTAAGGTGATAAGTAATTTTTATGGAATTTGTGAACGATAAGTCGGTAAGATAGATCCCCTGCAGCCGGCAGCAATAGATCCTTCGGCAGCAACACCCAATCACCAGATCCCAGCCGGAGATTCCCCGAACCGATGATTATCGGCCGGGCTGAGAGGGGAGATACCTGTATCTAAACAACACAGGTCTCTCTCCTACCAGCTAGGACATGCTGCTGTCTATTTCAGCAGCACGTCTCCCTAGTAAAACAGCACACAGTTAACCCTTTGATTGCCCCTCACATTAACCCCTTCCTGCCCAGTGCCATTAGTACAGTGTCAGTGCTTTTTATTAACACTGATCACTGTATTGGTGTCACTGATGATGTCAGTGACACCAAGTCAGTTCCCCCCCAGTGTCAGAATGCCTGCTGCAGTCCCACTATAAGTCGCTGATCGCCACCATTACTAGTAAAAATTTAAACTAAAATAAAAAAAAATCCCGTTATCTATACCACCATTTGTAGACGCTATAACTTTCACGTAAACCAATTAATTTACACGTATTGGGATTTTCTTTTAGCAAAGACACGGAGCAGAATACATTTTGGCCTAAATGTATGACCAAATTTTTTTTTTACTGGACATGTTTAATAGCAAAAAGTAGAAAATATAGTTTTTTTTCACAAAATTGTCGGTCTTTTTCTTTTATAGCGCAAAAAAAAAAAAAATTGCACAGGCGATCAAATACCACTGAAAGAAAGCTCAATTCGTGGGGAAAAAAAAAGGACGTAAATTTTAATTGGGTGCAGCGTTGCATGACCGCGCAATTGCCAGTTAAAGTGACGCAGCACCGTAAAGCAAAAAATGGGGGGGGGGGGGAGGGGGGGGGGGGGGGGGGGTGGCGGGAGGGGGTGGGGGTCAGGAGGGGGGGGGGGGGGGGGGGGGGGGGAATCCTCTGGAGAGCGAGTGATTAAAAAAGAAATAGAAAAATAGTCCGTGGCACAGTAACGCTGATGTGTTTCAGTCTACAAAACAGACTTTATAGAAAAATATTTTTTTAAAAATATTCCATGGCACAGTAATGCTGACGCATTTCAGTCTACAAAACAGACCTTAGTCATAGAAAAAAAAATAGAAACATTTTCCATGGCAAAGTAAATCTGGCATCTTTCAGTCTACAAAAAAATATTCCATGGCTCAGTAACACCGACATCGTCATAGAATAAGGGCTGTTTTTTTAGACTGGAACGCATCAGCATTACTGTGCCATGGAACATTCTTCAATTTTTTTTTTCTATGACGAGGTCTGTTTTGTAGACTGAAACACATCAGCATTACTGTGCCACGGACTATTTTTCTATATATATTTTTTTTCTATGTATAAATAAGGTCTGTTTTTGAGACTAAAATGCGCCAGCTTTACTGCGCCATGGAAAAATTTTTAATTTTTTTTTTCTATGACTAAGGTCTGTTTTGTAGACATATATATATATATATAATTAATAAAATTTATATATATATTTTTTTATATATATTTTCTACACTGTTTGGGTATCAGTTTGAGTGTAAGCAGCTAATAGATAGGGGTCCATTACAGCACAGGAGGGATTCTAATATCAAACCACTGTTTTGTAGATTGAAACATCAGCGTTACTGTGCCATGGAATATTTTTCTATATTTTCTTTTAATGAATAAAGTCTGTTTTGGAGACTGAAACATCAGCGTTACTGTGCCATGGACTAATTTTTTATATATATTTTTTTTATATATAAATAAGGTCTGTTTTTGAGACTAAAACGCGCCAGTGTTACTGTGCCATGGAACATTCTTCAATTTTTTTTTTTCTATGACGAGGTCTGTTTTGTAGACTGAAACACATCAGCATTACTGTGCCACGGACTATTTTTCTATATATATATTTTTTCTATGTATAAATAAGGTCTGTTTTTGAGACTAAAACACGCCAGTGTTACTGTGCCATGGAACATTCTTCAATTTTTTTTTCTATGACTAAGGTCTGTTTTGTAGACTGAAACGAAACAACATTATTGTGCCATGGACTATTTTTCTATTTTTTTTTTTTTTTTTTTTATAAATAAGGTCTGTTTTTTTTTTATTTTTAGACAAAAACGTGCCAGTGTTACTTTGCCATGTAATATTTATCTAATTTTTTTCTATGAATAAAGTCTGTTTTGTAGACAAACATCGGCGTTACTGTGCCATGGACTGTTTTCCTACATATATATATATATATATTTTTTGTTTTTTTTTTGTTTTTTTTAATGAATAAAGTCTGTTTTGTGGACTGAAACGCATCAGCGTTATTGTGCTATGGACTATTTTTCTATATTTTTTTTTTTATGAAAAAGGTCTGTTTTTTTAGACTAAAACACGCCAGTGTTACTGTGCCATGGAACATTCTTCAATTTTTTTTTTTTCTATGACTAAGGTCCGTTTTGTAGACTGAAATATATATATATATATATATATATATATATATATATATATATATATATATATATATATATATATATATATATATTTTTTTTTTTTTTTTTTTTCTTTTTTAAATAAGGTCTGATTTTTTTTTAGACTAAAACGCGCCAGTGTTACTTTGCCATGGAATATATATCTAACTTTTTCTATGAATAAAGTCTGTTTTGTAGACTGAAACGCATCAGCATTACTGTGCCATGGACTATTTTTACTTATTAATACAATAAAGAAGATTTCTCCGTATTCGCCTGTTGCCGACACTTTTTGGATAGGACAGGGTGACATCATTGCCTTTAGGAACATGTATATGTGTTGCGATTTATCAACCTTTTTTTTTTTTTCCCCAGTCGTGGCACCAAACAAGCCATGTGCTTGTTGACCAGCAGACGCAACATTTGGAGGGAACGTCCCAAGTCTTTTGACGAAGGACTACACACAGTAGGAAATGATCCCAGAGGGAACTTACCTGTCTGTGGGATCCACTAGCGACACGTGATTTACCAGGAGAGGGGCCTCGCTCGGTATGTAGATCCCGTTGAAGCCCCCAAACTTTCCAACGTAACGGTAGTGCTGAAGAGCGAAAAAAAAGTGTTTTTAAACATTAAAAGTGTCTGATGATCCTGGCAAAAAAATCAAATACTCGCCCAACGTCCTGTGCGGTCTGCCTCTGTGGCGTGTTCTCGGTTAGTCTAGGAGGGTCATGTGATTTCCGGAAACACACAGCAGTCCTTTTAACATGATTTCCTATGGGACAGGTTCACATCTCTGCACTTTCAACCCGTGTGGTTTTTTTTGGAAAGGGTCAGGGACTTTTTAAAAAAAAAAAAGAAAACACTCTCTTGCACACATGGCAGTGCGCGGATGAACGAGGACTTCGCGCCTCACCAAAGGGGACCAAAGTTTTAAATGGCTAACAAGTCAGATCCCATCACATACTGATGACTTACTGTGTTCAGATTTTGCACCACACCACCAAAAGACAACCACCACCAAAAAACCACCCGAAACACAACAACCACCACCGAAACACAACAACCACCACCGAAACACAACTACCACCACCGAAACACAACCACCACCACTAAAACACAGCCACCACCAAAAGACCACCTCCACCACCGAAACACAACCACCTCCACCACCACCACTAGACCACCACCAAAAAAAAAACCACAAAAACCACCACCACCAAAAGACCACCACACCACCAAAAAAACCACCACCAAAAAGACCACCACCGAAACACAACCACCTCCACCACCGAAACACAACCACCTCCCACCACCAAAAGACAACCACCACCTCCACCACCGAAACACAACCCCCTCCACCACCAAAACCACCACCACCACAAGACCACCACCACCATCAAAACACAAAACCACCACCATCAAAACACAACCACCACCATCAAAACACAACCACCACCACCAAAAACACAATCACCATCACCAATCGCTACGAGACCAGTGAGATGCATGTCTGAAAATAAAATTAGGCATATTAAAATTCTCAAAGCATAATAGGTGCAGAGAAAAGTCGGGTGACCATTTCAGGACCTTTTCTTGACATACCCACTTGCTATGCACTGCTATGTCCTCAGAGATCCATCTCCTTGGCAAGTTGCACAGTGATCAGACCCATACACCAATCAGCCATAACATCATGATGACCCACCTAGCATTACGTAGGTCCCCCTTCTGCAGCCCCTTTGACTGCCAAAGCAGCCCTGACCCACTGAGGCATGGACTCTACTAGACCTCTGAAGGTATGCTGTGGTATCTGCCGCCAAGCTGTCAGCAGCAGATCCTTTAAGTCCAGTAAGCTGTGAGGTCTCCATGGATCGGACTTGTTTTTCCAGCACATTCCACAGATGTTTAACTGGATTGAGATCTGTAGGACTTGAAGGCCAAGTCAACACCTCAAACTCATTGTTGTGTTCCTCAAACCATTCTTGAACCATTTTTTACAGTGCGGCAGGGCGCATTATCCTGCTGAAAGTAGCCAATGCCATCGGGGAATACAGTTTCCATGAAGGGGCGTACTTGGTCACCAACGTTTAGGTAGGGGGTACACGTCTTCTGAAAAACAGGGCGCAGGAGAGGGGCCCCTGAAAAGCAGGGCGCAGGAGAGGGGCCCCTGAAAAGCAGGGCGCAGAAGAGGGGCCCCTGAAAAGCAGGGCGCAGAAGAGGGGCCCCTGAGAAGCAGGGCGCAGTAGAGGGGCCCCTGAGAAGCAGGGCGCAGTAGAGGGGCCCCTGAGAAGCAGGGCGCAGTAGAGGGGCTCCTGAGAAGCAGGGCGCAGTAGAGGGGCTCCTGAGAAGCAGGGCGCAGTAGAGGGGCCCCTGAGAAGCAGGGCGCAGTAGAGGGGCCCCTGAGAAGCAGGGCGCAGTAGAGGGGCCCCTGAGAAGCAGGGCGCAGTAGAGGGGCTCCTGAGAAGCAGGGCGCAGTAGAGGGGCTCCTGAGAAGCAGGGCACAGAAGAGGGGCCCCCTGAGAAGCAGGATCCAGAAGAGGGGCCCGAGTAGCAGGGCATAGAAAAGGTTCCCCTGAGAAGCAGGATCCAAAATAGGGGCCCCTGAGAAGCAGGGCGAAGAAGAGGGGCCCCTGAGAAGCAGGGCGAAGAAGAGGGGCCCCTGAGAAGCAGGGCGAAGAAGAGGGGCCCCTGAGAAGCAGGGCGCAGAATAGTGGCCCCTGAGAAGCAGGGCGAAGAAGAGGGGCCACTGAGAAGCAGGATGCAGAAGAGGGACCGCTGGGAGGAAGGATCCAAAGGACAGAGAAGGGGTTCCTAGGAAGCACCATCCAGGGGCCACACACTGCTCTCCATCCACAGAACATCACCCAGGAGAACACACTCACCTCCATGCAGCAATGACACCGCCCCTCCTTCACACAGGAACACCAAGCACACGTCACTTCCGCCCTCATTTCACGTCCTCTGAGCACACAGCCCTCCCACTGTACCTTGCCGTATTGCATCCTGGGAGTTGTAGTTTGAGAGTGTATTTCCCCCCTAATAAGCTTTATTGTACATTCTCTGTGTGAACAACAGTACACTGTGTGATCAGCAGTACGATGTGGAGGGGTTTAGAGAGAGGTGAAGATACAAGGATCTCTGTTTCTGGAACACCCAGGATACTTTTTTTTATTTGCACTAACATACAAATTTTCCAGGACAAGCTTTTGGGGTGACACAGCAATTACCAGTTAAAGTAACGCAGTGCTGAATAGCAAAAAATAGGCCAATCGTAGGCCCACCAACTCTGTTGACATTCGTTCTTCATCTCTGGGAAGGGGCAGTATCTGGGGGTCTCCCTATAGTCAAAGGGGGCTTCCCGTTTCTTATAAGTCATGACCCCCCCCAGAACCCGCACAACCACCAGGCCCGGGTTGTGGAGAAGAGGCCCTTATCCTCATCAACATGGGGTCAAGGTGCTTTCCCGAAGGGGTCCAACCCTGCACGTAGTCCACCCTCACATGTTGAGGGCATGTGGCCTGGAATGGTTTAGGAGGGAGGGGGAACATGCTCTTCCCTTCCCCTTTCCTGGACTGCCAGGCTGCATGCTAGAACTAAGGGTCTGGTATGGCTTTTGAGGAGATACTCCACGCATTTTGTTTTTCATAAGTCGGGTTCCCCTTAAAAGTCTTACCAGAACTGAAGGGTCTGGTATGGCTTTTAGAAGGGGACCCCAAGCATTTTTTTTTCTTTAAAGTGGGGTTCCCCTTAAATGTCATGCTAGACCTGAAAAGCCTGGTATTGGTTTTGGAGGGGGATCCTACACATTTTTCTTTTTGGGGGGGTTCCAGTCAGAGCAGACCTAAAGGACCAGGTATCATACATCCCAAATGTCCCAGATTCAGCTGAACCATCCTGAGATTCAAACCGAATCCCAGCATCCCACAAATCCAGGCTAAACCCCAGGAGCACCAACATTTGCTTCTCCAGGCTAGTGCGGGCAACTCCTCATATTGCCTGGTTGGCCAGGGAACCTCTCTTTATCTCTTAGTTAGCCAGGAGCATCGTTCTACATTTCCTGGTTGGCCGGGAAACCTCTGCATTTCTTAGCCAGGGACATCTCCCCGCATTTCTTGGTGGGCCGGGGAACCTCTCCACATTTCTTGATTGGCTTTGGCGCCTCCTTGCATTTCTTGGTTGGCAGAGGAACCTTTCTGCATCTCTTAGCCAGGGGAATCTCTCCACATCTCTTGGTTGGCTGGGGCACCTCCTCGCATTTCTTGGATGGCCAGGGAACCCCTCTACATCTCTTAGCCAGGGGAATCTCTCATTTCTTGGTTGGCTGGGGCACCTCCTCGCATTTCTTGGATGGCCAGGGAACCCCTCTACATCTCTTAGCCAGGGGAATCTCTCCACATTTCTTGGTTGGCTGGGGCACCTCCTCGCATTTCTTGGATGGCCAGGGAACCCCTCTACATCTCTTAGCCAGGGGAATCTCTCCACATTTCTTGGTTGGCTGGGGCACCTCCTCGCATTTCTTGGATGGCCAGGGAACCCCTCTACATCTCTTAGCCAGGGGAATCTCTCCACATTTCTTGGTTGGCTGGGGCACCTCCTCGCATTTCTTGGATGGCCAGGGAACCCCTCTACATCTCTTAGCCAGGGGAATCTCTCCACATTTCTTGGTTGGCTGGGGCACCTCCTCGCATTTCTTGGATGGCCAGGGAACCCCTCTACATCTCTTAGCCAGGGGAATCTCTCCACATTTCTTGGTTGGCTGGGGCACCTCCTCGCATTTCTTGGATGGCCAGGGAACCTCTCTACATCTCTTAGCCAGGGGCATCTGTCCACATTTCTTGGTTGGCTGGGGCACCTCCCCACATTTTTTTGGATGGCCGGGGAACCTCCCCACATTTCTTGGTTGGCTGGGGAACCTCTCTGCATCTCTTAGCCAGGGGCATCTCCCCACATTTCTTGGGTTGGCCAGGGAACCTCTTTGCATCTCTTAGTTAGGCAGAGGCATCTGTCCACATTTCTTGGTTGGCTGGGGCACCTCCCTGCATTTCTTGATGTTGATGGTTTGGGAAGAGTCCAGCGGTGGCAAAAATGGTTGGGTGGGACTTCAGATGTGTCCTGAAGTTCTTGGACTGGACGAAATCTGGCAATTAAACACATGGTTGGGCTGGAAATAGGTGGAACCTGACTTTCCAGAGTTGGGCAGTGTCTGTGCTGGTTGTCATGGAAACAGGACAGCAACGGTTGGAGGAGCAGAGACCCCACAACCGGCCCATATCACCTTGGAGAATCGAGTAATTCACATCAGTCCCTCTCTAAGAGCAACAACCTCCTTCCCCCAAGATCCTCCTTCCCTATAACACACTAGAGATGTTCAAACCCCCAAACTGGCCAATTACACTCCAACCCCCATAGGTTAGCCCCTCCCCAACTCCTCCATTCTACCCAGAGAGCAAAACAGGACCAGCCACTGGCAGGGTGATGGGGGGGGGGGGGGGTTATGTGAGTAGGTTAGAGAGACCGGATTGAGGGCCATAGACTTCAATTTTAACTCTCAAAAGTTGCATGAAAGTCATACCTGAATGTTTTACACGCAACAGTA